AGAAAATCTCTTTTTTGACTGAATTGAAGGGCTCCTTAAATTACACACAGATCTTTTACATTGTCAATAAATGACTAATAAAGGCAGTTAAAGAACTTAACTAAAAGGATATCTGCAGTTTATAGCTTCCCCTGAAAGAAGAAAAGACTTTCAAATATAATTATCTCACTATAAATTATTTTTTGGAGAGATTACTCCAGTGGGGCGGGGGGCAAGGTGGGAGGACCAAGATTGTAGAGAATGGCTGATTAAGAAAAATGCTCCCTAAGGGTGAGTTGGCAGAAAAGAAGACTTTGGCAGAGCTTCTTTAGGAATCAAGTGGAGTGGTGGGATTGGATGGTGTCCAGGTAAGAAATAAACTAGAATCCCAGTGCTGGGAAAATGTATGCATTTTACATGCAATCCTGAGCTTACTCATTGCAATTTAAACCTATTTCTTTTTTACTCTTAAGAAAACATAACAAATAACTGGTGACTACTTTTCTGTATCCTAGTTCCTTAAATTAACTTTTAGAAAGCTGCAACTCTTCAACCTTCTTTTCCTCAGATTAACCAAGAACATCCATCTTTTCCCATAGACACAGTACTATTTTCCAGCCATCATCAACTAATCATCAATCACTTTTGAATATTTTTTCCCCACCAGTTTTTTTTTTTTTTTTTGCAGTACACGGGACTCTCACTGCTGTGGCCTCTCCCACCGCGGAGCACAGGCTCCGGACGCGCAGGCTCAGCGGCCATGGCTCACGGGCCCAGCCGCTCCGCGGCATGCGGGATCCTCCCGGACCGGGGCACGAACCCGTGTCCCCTGCATTGGCAGGCGGACTCCCAACCACTGCACCACCAGGGAAGCCCCCCGCACCAGTTTTATAGCAAGGTCAAAAGACTATTTGCCACAGAATCGTAAATGTGGATTCCCAGGCCATACACTGTACCTACTGAATATGAATCTTTGAAGATGGGACTCTTATCCACACCAAAATTTGAGAACCACTACTTTAAAGGATTCCACAGCTCTCAATTTGAATGGAAAGATCTGAATTGAATTTGACCAATTATCTTTTATCAAGGACTTGAGCAATTTAGTTTAGAGAACATTTGATGTATTTCTTAATAAATTATATTCTAATCCCTCCCAACATCATATATTCATACTGAAAAGCTACCTTTTACTTCTGACATGAATTATTAAAATTACTGAACTAGTATATAGCAAGTCAATTTCAAAGTATTTCTTAAATGAAATATGCTAAGAAAATCATGATCCAACAAGTCAACATCTATTTTTATTCTTTTACGGAGAAGTCTTGAACAGCCTATTTTTTTCTCTTGATATATAAAATTCTAAAAATGGGAATTTTTAAAAGGAAGAAATGATGGCATATAACTTCTACAACCTTTGCGGCATTGGTGGATATCATTACAGTCTTTCTAAATCTTTCTTTATGAAAGAACCCAAGGTAGTAGAACTTTGCCTATTTCTTCTAATACATTTAATTAAATGTTCTACCTACCTAGAAACCAAGTGAAAGCTCCTAAATAATTTCTGACATGAGCTAAATTTTACTTCTGATTCATAATGACTGATTATAACCCTATGACAGTTACAGAAAATTAATTAGTTATGAAGAGCAAGAACTCTAGAAATAAAAATGCAGAGGCTGAAATTTGAATTGTAATCTTTTTCACACCATGTGGAAATAGTCATATGGAATTAAAGAACTTGGGTCACTAAATTAATATTAAGGAAGCTCTTTATTATACATTTTTAAAAAATAAGTATATGTCATATCTAACAATATGAATTACATAAAATGCACACACAATATTTTAGCTATGATTATAAACTTGCCCAAAATTCTACTTACTGTCAAGCGTGAAACTTGTAAAACTCAAAATTTAGTCCTAATACTCTTGACTCACTTGGGTTACATGTTAAGACGAGACATTTGGGGCTCTACACCAGATGGACTGAATCAGTCTCTGGAGGGTATGTCCTGAGAATCTGCATTTACAATGCTAAACACTTACATATTACCCACACAACTAGCATTCTGGCAAGAGTTCCAACTTCATCCCTATCTATGAGATCCAGATCCCCCAAGTGGCAGTGCTTCGTTTTGTCTTAGAGACGGACGTGGGGTGTTTACCAGAAATCCATAGCCGAGGGACTTCCCTGGTGGCACAGTGGTTAAGAATCCGCCTGCCAGTGCAGGGGCCACGGGTTCGATCCCTGGACTGGGAGGATTCCACATGCCATAGAGCAACGAAGCCCGTGCGCCACAACTACTATGCCTATGCTCTAGAGCCTGTGAGCCACAACTGCTGAGTCCGCGTGCCACAACTATTGAAGCCCGTGCACCTAGAGCCCGTGCTCTGCAACGAGAGAAGCCACAGTAATGAGAAGCCCGCGCACCGCAACAAAGAGCAGCACCCACTTGCCGCAGCTAGAGAAAGCCTGTGCGCAGCAACGGAGACCCTGCAGCCAAAAATAAATAAATAAACAAATTTAAAAAATTGTTTCCGAAGCAAAAGCATCAGTGACAATACTCAAAGTATTGCCAATGTTGTTATTTAAAAAAAAAATCCATAGATGAAATCTGTAGGCAGTACAGTTGGGCAGCTTCTTCAAAGAGATAATGAATTTTGTCCTTTTTCAAGCATCTCTTTTGGTGTAGAAATGTATGGGCTGGTGTTAAAATCCAGTTACAATTAATCGTCTTACATCACCTGGGCAAATTTAATGGTGACCCCCCAACTACAACTTTCTCACCTCACTGACCCACTGATGGGCAAACATATTCTCTATTTTCTAACAGAAAGATAGAAAGCAAACCTGCATAATAATCCCAGGAGGCTTTGAACAGAAGATTCTTCAGGTGTCCTGTTTATATGGGATTCCGTTTTGGTTTCGTTTGTTTAATCAGTATAGTTCATCTCCTAGAAAGAGGCACACAAATGCTGGTGTAATTTAAGAACAATAGACTCCACTAATCACGGATTGTTAATCCCATCTGCTCCTCATGAGAAGGAAACAGTGTTCCATGATGTGTGAAAGGACCTATGAGCCTTCCTAAATCTGACCACTCTCCTTATTCTGTCTTCTTGTATTTCTTTCTCCATGGTTCTTTGGTGTCTTTTTTCCCTTCTTCTCATTGCATTGTCACCACAAAGCTTATCTATTTTCATATGAGAGGTTTTCATATGAGAGAGAGGTTTGGGGAGGTTAGGTCAGATTTCATCATGGTCCCCCAATGACAAAATTATCACCTCCTAAGAGTCTGTTATCTCTGGAAAAAATTTATTGCTATCCTATAAAGAGGAATGTGGTGTTTTGAGTTAGCTTCTTTACTAAGAAGCTAAAGATATTTATTAAGAGTATGCTGCATGAATAGCACTTTAAATATTAATTTAATAGACTACTTCCTGTCCTTTTATCCCTCTACCTGATACAGCTGTAGGAAAATACACTTGTCGTTCAAGAATATACCTGTTAAAAAAAAGAAAAAATATATACCTGTTTCTTTTAGCCACGTTTCGTAGTGCCATTCAAAATTAAACTAAATCAAAATGAATATGGTTAGGGAAGAAAAATGTTGGGCAAGAGGCAAGTGGGGTCAGGGTCTCTGCTGTTTCTCTGGAGATAGTCTGCAGGGTCAGACAAGGTAGGAGTTCAAGTAATAACAGTTTATCTGTAAAAATCATCCTCCCCAGGAGTCCTTTACAAGGAGATTTCTGAATTTTCAAAAAGCCATATATGGCTGTGCACATGGCACCAGGGGGTTGAAGGCAGTTGGTTAAACCTAACTTTGAAGCCAGGGAAAGTCTAGTGAGTTCTACTCAGACCTTTGGGGAAAATGAGGCTAAGCTAGTTTTAGAGGTTGATTTCTGTTTCAACTGGCTTCTCTGAAGTACCTTAGCAGAAGTCCAAAATTAGAAAAGAGGAAATGACCTTTTGTTCTACCGAGTGTTTAGTAGGAAATATTGAATCACATTAATGGGTTTCCAAGGCCTGAGGAGGGTCTGGACCTTAAAAAAAAAAAAAAAAAAAGTACAGTATAATAGTGTTTAAGACTACAAGACTACTCATTATCGATATTAAAACCACTCAAGATATTTTTCCAGGTTTATTGAGATATGATTGACATATAACACTGTATTTGTTTTAGGGGTACAACACAATGATTTGATATATGTATATATTGCACATATAATTTATTTAACATCCGTTTCCTCACACACATTTTTTTAATGACGAGAACTTTTAAGATCAACTCTTAGCAATTTTCAAATATTCGTTACAGTGTTGTTAACTTTAGTCACCATTACATCCCCAGAACTTATTTATCGTATAACTCGCAGAAGTTTGCACCTTTTGACCACCTTCACCCAGTTCCCCCACCTCGGCAACCACCAGCCTGTTCTCTACATCTTTTTAAACACACACGCACACACACACACACACACACACGTTAATTTTAAGGGATATATTGGTGAGGGAACGTTTTACGTGCTGTTTATACTGAAATGTGAAAAGTCAATGCTATTTAAGCAACCAAATTGCCAATCTGTTATTGTTACAAACAAAAAGGAAAAATAAACTGATTTTTATTTCTAAATAAGAGGGTTGCTGAAGGCCCTTCGCCTTCCTGGGGTATGACTCTGAGAAGCTCTGACAACTGAGCCCTAAAGCCCCACAGTCACGGGGCAGGGCAGTTTTAGGCACAATTCTCAGACGAAGGGTCTGCTCCTCCCCACAACCTCCAGGGTGAGAGGGGGCGGAGCCCGGAGGGCCCCGGAGGCGGGAGGGGCGGGAGGGGCGGGACAGGGCGCGAGCGGGGCGGCGGCCGCGGGGGGGCGGGACCTCCGGGTTCCCGAGCTCAGGCCGCACAGGCCCTGGTCTACTTCTGGGCCCCGCGCCATTTCCGCCACTCTCGGCCGAGCGGGACCCCCAGGTCTCGTCCTGCCGCTGGGCCGCGCGGAGCTGACCGCCTGGCGGGATGCGGCCGTCCCCGGGGACGTGCTGGCTGCTCCTCTGGCTGCCGCCGCTGGCCGTGCTGTCGGCGGACACGGTGCGCGGCGAGGAGGACGAGGCGGCGTTGTCAGGTAACCGCGGGCACAGGCGGCGGGCGCGCGCACGCTCCTCGGCTCCCCCGCTCCCTATCCCCGCCCTCCTCGCCCCCTCCCCCCGTCTCGCCCGGCTCCCCGGTGATGGACCAAGCTCTCCCTTCTCCAGGCGGCGGGGCGCGGGGAGATGTTTTGCTGCCCGGCTTAAGGCTCCCTCCGCGGGCGCGGCCTCCCTTACCGCCTGCTTGGGCTTCCCTGGTCTCTGCTGGCACATGGACATTATAGTTTTAGGATTAGAAGCAACTGCAGAGTTCATTCTGGCCCAGTTCCCTCGTTTTGCAGAAGCAACCGAAGCCCTGAGAAGTTTTGATTAGTCCAAGGATACACAGATAGTCATTGTACAGATGATCCTAGTCTCCCGACTTTCAACACAGGGCATTTGTATACATCAACTTAGGTTGAAAATATTATTATTTATCTAGCTAAAACTTTGGACTCAAGACTAGAGAAGGTAAAACTTTGGCTTTAGAATTGGACTGAAATTCCCCAGCCCTTACTAGCTCTGTGACCTTGAGTGAGTCATGCTACTACTGGTCACATGTAAAACACGGATATTTCACAGGATTACTGTGATGTTTAACGTGTACCTGGTACAAAGGAAACAAGAAATGGTAGCTGTTCATAGTGTTGTTATGGGCTGTCCGGAGTGGGGCAAGGCAGGAGTTCTAACTCCACAACTGCTACTAATTTGCTATGAGCTTAACGTTTCTTTTTCACTGTTTTCACTATTTTTAAAAGATTTCCTGGAATCACTGTCCACTAACTTCATCTTATTGCCCCCCTGTGGTTGCAAGGGAGGCAACCAAGTGTGGGCTTTTAGCTGGGCATAGCTGCTACCCTCCAATAAAATCAGGATTGTTTGTCTAAGGATAAAGGCAGTTATCAGATTGAGCTGGAGCTACCAACTCCTCTGTATCTTGCAGTGAGGTACGCCTTGGGGGACTCTTCTATACCAGTTTTCATTGAATGGACATTTGTTGAGTATTTACTATGTGCTAGGCAGTGTTAAAAGTGCTTTAACTGCATTATCTTATTTAATACTCATAGTAGCTGTCTGGGGTAGGTACCATTTATATACCCATTTTACAAAAGAGGGAACAAAGGCTTGGTAGTAGGAGAAGTAACCAGTATATACTGATGAAAAAATAAATCACAGATCTGTCTAAGAAGGAGGGTTTCTGAGCATGGCAGCAAACAGAAAATTGTAAGTAGCCTTGGACCAGCATCCAGAACCTTGATTTCTCTAGTTCGGTCATTACATTCAGCCACCCACTTGCAGAATTAAGTTGGTCCAGGCGTGTAATCTTTATGGGCCATAGTTTTCTCATCAGTAAAGGTGAAGATGTTCTATTACTGAATTTTCTCCAATAATTTCCTTACCTTTTATTTGCCTCAATGAACCCACGGTTTTTCAGGTTTTTCTTACCAGATTTAGTGTTAACATTGTCAACTAATTTATTTTGTTAATCAAATCCTACATAAATGCTTCTGTTCTGCCTGAGACACGCAGGATGCCCACTGAGTTGATAAAATTCTAGTCCACAGCTAAGCGAAATGGCAACTTCTGTAGCCTTATAGCAACACTTGCCCTTACAGATGGGCTTCACAGCTGAGACTTTTTTTTTTTTACCTCTTTATTGGAATATAATTGCTTTACAGTGGTGTGTTAGTTTCTGCTTTATAACAAAGTGAATCAGTTATACATATACATATGTTCCCCTATCTCTTCCCTCTTGCGTCTCCCTCCCTCCCACCCTCCCTATCCCGCCCCTCCAGGCGGTCACAAAGCACCGAGCTGATCTCCCTGTGCTATGCGGCTGCTTCCCACTAGCTATCTACCTTACGTTTGGTAGTGTATATGTATGTGTCCATGCCTCTCTCTCGCTTTGTCACAGCTTACCCTTCCCCGTCCCCATATCCTCAAGTCCATTCTCTAGTAGGTCTGTGTCTTTATTCCTGTCTTACCACTAGGTTCTTCATGACATTTTTTTTTCTTAGATTCCACATATATGTGTTAGCATACGGTATTTGTCTTTCTCTTCCTGACTTACTTCACTCTGTATGACAGACTCTAGGTCTATCCACTTCATTACAAATAGCTCAATTTCGTTTCTTTTTATGGCTGAGTAATATTCCATTGTATATATGTGCCACATCTTCTTTATCCATTCATCCAATGATGGACATTTAGGTTGTTTCCATCTCCGGGCTATTGTAAATAGAGCTGCAATGAACATTTTGGTACATGATGACTCTTTTTGAATTATAGTTTTCTCAGGGTATATGCCCAGTAGTGGGGTTGCTGGGTCTTATGGTCATTCTATTTGTAGTTTTTTAAGGAACCTCCATACTGTTCTCCATAGTGGCTGTACCAATTCGCATTCCCACCAGCAGTGTAAGTGCTCCCTTGCACTGTGTTCCCTTTTCTCCACACCCTCTCGAGCATTTATTGTTTCTAGATTTTTTGATAATGGCCATTCTGACTGGTGTGAGATGATATCTCATTGTAGTTTTGATTTGCATTTCTCTAATGATTAATGAAGTTGAGCATTCTTTCATGTGTTTGTTGGCAGTCTGTATATCTTCTTTGGAGAAATGTCTGTTTAGGTCTTCTGCCCATTTTTGGATTGGGTTCTTTGTTTTTTTGTTATTGAGCTGCATGAGCTGCTTATAAATTTTGGAGACTAATCCTTTGTCAGTTGCTTCATTTGCAAATATTTTCTCCCATTCTGAGGGTTGTCTTTTCATCTTGTTTATGGTTTCCTTTGCTGTGCAAAAGCTTTGAAGTTTCATTAGGTCCCATTTGTTTATTTTTGTTTTTATTTCCATTTCTCTAAGAGGTGGGTCAAAAAGGATCTTGCTGTGATTTATGTCATAGAGTGTTCTGCCTATGTTTTCCTCTAAGAGTTTGATAGTATCTGGCCTTACATTTAGGTCTTTAATCCATTTTGAGCTTATTTTTGTGTATGGTGTTAGGGAGTGATCTAATCTCATACTTTTACATGTACCTGTCCAGTTTTGCCAGCACCACTTACTGAAGAGACTGTCCTTTCTCAACTGTACATTCCTGCCTCCTTTATCAAAGATAAGGTGACCATATATGTGTGGGTTTATCTCTGGGCTTTCCTGTTCCATTGATCTTTCTGTTTTTTTTCCAGTACCATACTGTCTTGATTACTGTAGCTTTGTAGTATAGTCTGAAGTCAGGAAGTCAGGCAGCCTGATTCCTCCAGCTCCATTTTTTGTTCTCAAGATTGCTTTGGCTATTCGGGGTCTTTTGTGTTTCCATACAAATTGTGAAATTTTTTGTTCTAGTTCTGTGAAAAATGCCAGTGGTAGTTTGATAGGGATTGCATTGAATCTATAGATTGCTTTGGGTAGTAGAGTCATTTTCACAATGTTGATTCTTCCAATCCAAGAACATGGTATATCTCTCCATCTGTTTGTATCATCTTTAATTTCTTTCATCAGTGTCTTATAATTTTCTGCATACAGGTCTTTTGTCTCCTTAGGTAGGTTTATTCCTAGATATTTTATTCTTTTTGTTGCAATGGTAAATGGGAGTGTTTTCTTGATTTCACTTTCAGATTTTTCATCATTAGTATATAGGAATGCCAGAGATTTCTGTGCATTAATTTTGTATCCTGCTACTTTACCAAATTCATTGATTAGCTCTAGTAGTTTTCTGGTAGCATCTTTAGGATTCTCTATGTAGAGTATCATGTCATCTGCAAACAGTGACAGCTTTACTTCTTCTTTTCCGATTTGGATTCCTTTTATTTCCTTTTCTTCTCTGATTGCTGTGGCTAAAACTTCCAAAACTATGTTGAATAAGAGTGGTGAGAGTGGGCAACCTTGTCTTGTTCCTGACCTTAGTGGAAATGCTTTCAGTTTTTCGCCATTGAGGATGATGTTGGCTGTGGGCTTGTCATATACGGCCTTTATTATATTGAGGAAAGTTCCCTCTACACCTACTTTCTGCAGGGTTTTTATCATAAATGGGTGTTGAATTTTGTCAAAAGCTTTCTCTGCATCTATTGAGATGATCATATGGTTTTTCTCCTTCAATTTGTTAATATGGTTAATCACATTGATAGATTTGCGTATATTGAAGAATCCTTGCATTCCTGGAATAAACCCCACTTGATCATGGTGTATGATCCTTTTAATGTGCTGTTGGATTCTGTTTGCTAGTATTTTGTTGAGGATTTTTGCATCTATGTTCATCAGTGATATTGGCCTGTAGTTTTCTTTCTTTGTGACATCCTTGTCTGGTTTTGGTATCAAGGTGATGGTGGCCTCGTAGAATGAGTTTGGGAGTGTTCCTCCCTCTGCTATATTTTGGAAGAGTTTGAGAAGAATAGGTGTTAGCTCTTCTCTAAATGTTTGATAGAATTCGCCTGTGAAGCCATCTGGTCCTGGGCTTTTGTTTGTTGGAAGATTTTTAATCACAGTTTCAATTTCAGTGTTTGTGATTGGTCTGTTCATATTTTCTATTTCTTCCTGATTCAGTCTTGGCAGTTTGTGCATTTCTAAGAATTTGTCCATTTCTTCCAGATTGTCCATTTTATTGGCATAGAGTTGCTTGTAGTAATCCCTCATGATTTTTTGTATTTCTGCAGTGTCAGTTGTTACTTCTCCTTTTTCATTTCTGATTCTATTGATTTGAGTCTTCTCCCTTATTTTCTTGATGAGTCTGGCTAATGGTTTATCAATTTTGTTAATCTTCTCAAAGAACCAGCTTTTAGTTTTATTGATCTTTGCTATTGTTTCCTTCATTTCTTTTTCATTTATTTCTGATCTGATTTTTATGATTTCTTTCCTTCTGCTAACTCTGGGGTTTTTTTGTTCTTCTTTCTCTAATTGCTTGAGGTGCAAGGTTAGGTTGTTTATTCGAGATGTTTCCTGCTTCTTAAGGTGGGCTTGTATTGCTATAAACTTCCCTCTTAGAACTGCTTTTGCTGCATCCCATAGGTTTT